TTGAATCACGAAAATAATTATGATATACCCTAAACTTATTCGTTAGAAATCAGAAAAATGTGTAATGTGAGCTAAAACAAATATATCGCGAGACTTTTTAAATGTTCTTTAGCACATTAAACCCGTTCAAAGAGGACATTGGTCTGCTAGAAAGTGTCAAGTACTTAGTAAAGAACTCGAAGAATGCTTCAACTGTACTAATTTATGAATCGGTATCATTTTCTAGATTCGAGTTTCATGACCAGTGAAGAGTTATTTCCAGATAGGAGGAACAGAAATTTTCAACCGTGCATAATAAATTCTTTAAAAAAATCGATATTAAAATTAATTTACATAACAGAAATAACATATAGAATTAATTTATAATTACATATTATTCTTTTTAAATTTATAATCCGTACAAACGTACCACGCACTTCGAGTTCAGATAAATTATTTGCAATGAATTTCAGGGTAGGCGTCGATTTTAAAATACATAAATAATAGTTTTAATTAAAACGGTTGAGAAATTTCGTATTTAAAAATTAAAAATTCAAAATTAATCTCTAATAAGAGTTGTAGGGTAATCGTAAATTATCATCAACATTACGGGATTTAATTTATCCCGTCTGTAAAGGTCATATTATAAATTCAAGAACTACATTTACGACGTAATCCTTATAGTTTAATGTAATCTGTGTTTATTCTTTAAAACATTGGTGACTTATTTCTTAAATTTAAATAATTTCAAGCTATTTACAAGCTTATTACACAATTTTACACAGTCGAGATTTGAAAATAAACACAAGTTGGTCCTCGAAAAATCTAGATTATTTTCTAGAAAATTAATAAATTATTTAATAATTTAAGTACTGCAACATTCTATATAAACAATTTCTCCATCTTTAATCGAGTTATTTAATTTAAAAAAACCTGTATCAAAATCTAAATTTTTAAAGGTTTAAGATGGAATTTTTAATTTTAATGGGTAATGTCGTTAATTAATAAACAGAAAGCAGAAAATTACGTAACGCGTAACGCAATAACACACAAAAACATTAATCGCAATAATAAAACGGAAATAACTTTAAAAGAAGTAACATTATCCGATTTAAATTCGATAATATGGCAGCTCTCCAGCATTAAAACATATTTGAATTTTTTAAGAATTGTACTGTTATTGATACTAGCGCAGGAAATAAGTCGCGTACAATATCATTTTCGTTCATGCCCGTACAAATACTAAGTTTTTTTTCTTCTTTTCGATATCTTTACACTTAAAAAAAACTCTACCGAGAAAACAGTTAATGAATTTATATAAAAAATAATAATAAATTAAATAAAGAAAAGGCTTTGTTTTCTTTGAATCTTTTTGCCTATGACCTTTACCCTTAAGTTACTTTACCATAATCGATTTGTAACTGTATTTCTGGCAAACATAAGATGTTAAAAGCTTGTGAAATTTCTCTTTTTCAATTATAAAAATAGATGGAGACGATTTTTATAAGGATTAATAATAATAGTTCCTTGACTTCTTAGAATTTCGTTTTATAAAAATTGGACTAAGACCACTTTCGAGTTATGTCCTGTTAAATTTCTTGTTTTTTCATTTAACGGAATTCTACATCGTTAACAACGTTTTACTTTCTATTCTTACTTTTATTTTATTTCATCTCTTATCGAGAAAAACATCTTTCTTTAAGCACATTTTTCAAATTTAAATTAAACCAATCAGCGCTCGTCTAGAAATTCAAACTGTCAATTTAAAAAATAATAATAGAATATGATTGGATAATAATTTAAATTGTTTCTTTTGTGATTATTATCATTCATTTTTATAAATAATAATAATAATAATCGATAAAAATAATAATAAAATCACAATTTAAACGAACGATTACGTTTAATGATATACAATTTAATTACTTTTAATCTCGATTAAGTACAACTATGTTAATTAAAAGTAAATATGAAAGAAGTGTAGCGTTAAAATTACAAATTAATGCTAATATTCTTTGTATAATAAATAAAATAAATGATAATTCTTAAAATTATGACAAAAGCAAAATTTATTTTGATATTTCTAATCACGCACTCTTCCGATGAAAAATTATATTAGCGAAGATATATATATATATATATATATTTGTTTACGAAGTATTACAAAATTAAATAGAATGTAATTATAATTACTTTTCTCGAAATTTAAAATAGATTGCATAACATTATAAACGAAAAACTATAATTAATATGTAATTGGACAAAAAAAATTAATTTAAAAAAATAATTATTCGAGTTTAATTTCGCAAACAATTTAACTATTATTAATTTTAAAAAATAACCGTAAGAAAATAAAATATAAAATAAAAATTATAAAATGGGATAAAAACATATTTCAAATATTTGAAATTATAATCTCGAAAACCGATGCATTACGAATAAAAGTCGTCTGTCTGAGTAAAGAGGGGAAATATTTTTTTCTTTTTAGTTTTAAATTATGAAGTGTAAATAAATATTTGTTTCTTTAAATAATAAAATAAAAGGGATAAAGTGAATTTTAAATCAGCGGAATACATGTTCTATGGCAGACGACAAAAGGAAACTACCAATCACGGCGGGCCTAGCCGGTAACCATGACAACGCAACGGGGCTGATATCAAAGAGAAAGGGAGACTGCGGTAAAATTGGCGGGTTGACTTTGCCAGTTAAAGCTCTTTCTACAACAATCCGTAATCATCTGAACATAATCGTGGACGGCTTTATACAGGTAAACTATTATCGCTTCTAATAGATTCTTAAACTACCACCCCATATTTTTCTCTATATATTTTAAATTATATAAAAATTTTCAACCAAAACAAAAGATTATAATTATTGCAATAAATCCGATTTTAAACGCTTATAAAATATTATTTAATATATATTATCTTTTTAATACGTATTAAGTTAATAGAAAATGATTTAAAACGATTTAAATTTTCAAATTCGTGACGTTTCGTACACGTAACAAACAAATAAAAAATAAATTCTGACGCAATTCGGGACCGCACGTATGCATTACGTTATCGAAATTGATGTAATTTTTTTACGTCATCGAAAATGGTGTCGATCTCCATGCCATTTTTGCTCTTTTTATTGTAACAGGTGCGTAAGTATATTTTAATTATTTAATTCGTTTCTGTCGTAAAATTGGATTTAGATAAAGGTTAAAGTGCGAAAGAATTTATGAAAAAGTTAAAATTATTCTTTTCTTTTATCGATTAAAAAAAATTAAATTTTAATAGAAATTTTGTATTTTTTTCTATTTAAAAATGCGCAATTAAAAGACAAAAATAATAGTTAAATAAATTTTTTAAAAATTTAATAATAAATTAGAATAATAATGTAAGAAATTTCCATTAATTAATAGAAAATGGTTATTTTCTATCGACGAAGGCTTAAATTTTTTCCTTTTTTTAATGGAGAAGAATCTTACCGCCAAATTACATTTAATAAAATTTAAAATTTGTGATATAACACAATAATAAATTTACTGTTTAGAAAACGAGAAACAATGACTGGCGGTTGTTTAATTAAATTTTATTGTAAAAGCTGATGGAAAATTGTAAACTTTTACAAAATTTCCAGCGTATTTTAATGACGAAAATGGCGTTTACAGTTTAGTATTTTCTAAACATCAAAATTTTAAATATAATTACGAATTCGGACTCTATATTTAAATTGCGCTTCTAAATAACTAACCAATAGAATTAAATCTATTTTAGTCTTATGCTAGTATTGCTAAATGACGTCATACGAATACGAATTTATTTGTCTTAACGCGGCGATTTTTATGTCGTAAACTACGACATAAAATTATAAAATTTTATAATAATAGCGCGTGCATATTTACATAATTTATGCTTATTTTAAATCGTATTTTTATGGATTTTTGCGTGAGTAAACATTGGCAGAAAGGCGTATTGTTTTATTTAAAAAAGAAATGAACATATTGCTGTTGCTTTGCGTGGGAGTTGGGCAATCTTGTTTTGCTTCTATAAATAGAACTCGACGGATGATCGAAGTATTTTTAGAACGGTTCGATTTTTGAAAAGAAAATGGAAGGAATCCGCTACCGACATTGAAAATATTTCAATGTTATCTGTTGATGAATATGTTTTAATGAAAATCGCACCCCTTAAATTTATTAATCCGAAGCGATTTTTTAACGATTTTCTATATAACCCGGTAGATGGATTTTTCGTATTACGTACTACAAAAATAACAATTATAGGCAGTAATTTAAATCTTTAATGCGGTAAATATCCTCTTACAATACTGTAGTAGAGGTAATGTAATAAAATGTAAATATATTGACCTTTTAAAAGCAAAATAAGTAGTAACGAGATTTATGCCTATATCAAAATTGTTGTTTACGTTCATCATTCACTATTTTTTGTGTGTAAACTTTTTAAAAAATATTAGCAAATAAATAATAATTTTAAAATATGTTTCGAATATATATTATATTCTACTTTATAAAACTAAAGTTATATAATTTTATAGCGTTGTGTTTTTTTTTTTTTTTAATATATGAAAGATTAATGGCACTTCTTTGCCAATTTTATTTTCTTTAAATGTAATTTTTAAATTATACTAATTTATTTACAAGTGTAACCTGCTAATGTGACAGGTTTAAAGTGGCCACCTTTATAAGGGTGATCGCGTTAGCAGATTTCAGTGTATTTAATGTAGGCTACGTAAAGAATCCCTTCTCGAGAACAAGCAACTTGTGAAACATTTTTCTTAAGAAAAATTTTAAGTATTTTCCTTATAAAGATGCGTAGTTTAAATATAACTAGTAAACTGTTTAATTTCGAGTGTTGGCTTAAGTGTGTCCCAGTAACGGCTGTAAAATTTTAATGTACGGTACCTTGTAAAATTTTACGTGTAAGCTCGTTTGATCCGTTACTTTTTATATTTAAATCGATAAAGTAATAACAGGATTTTTAATTCTAAATTCAAGATCAATTTCTAAAATAAAAATGTGACTTTTGCATTTTATTAATAACAAATAGTATTTTATTACCGTTTGACAGAGACTTAGGTAAAAAGTCTTCTTAATATATACAGTATATACATTTTTTCCCCTGTTTTCGGTGTTGGAAACTCGAGTCGTTGACACGTTTTAAATTAACTTGTCTGTGAGGTTCTGTCTAGTTTAGTGCTATATTACACAATCTGTTCCGCTGTAACTTCTATATCTCTACACTTTTTTTATGACCGAAGGAGCAATAGCCGAGTTTTTTCTTTATTTTTATGGATGTAAAAAGCTTGGAAACGTATAAATCCGTCGTCGGCATTATCTTCTAAGAAATACATTTTGATATTTTCCTAAATGAAAGAAACGGGGATTAGTCCATTTGACCATAGACGTTAAAAGAATAAGATGATTTTTATGTTCTTTGCATCTTTTTGTTCATATTTTATATATTCAGTGAAACCTGCTAATGTGACCGACTACCTGTGTAAGGTGACCACTTGAGGAGAAGGTCCCTTCGATGGTCACATTAGCAGGTTTTACTGTACTTCTAGAATAATATTTTCCTCTGTAAGTTTTCACGCCACGTCTGTTTTTTCTTCTTCTTCTTCTTCTTCTTGAGGAGCATTCAACTTTTCGCAATACCTCGAGCATATGTGGAAATCTAGTATTAAACAATAGAAATTTTCATCATCGCAATTAATTCATCCGAAAACAAATAGGCATATTAATTAAATTTTTAAAAAATGCTAATATTAATTCAGAAGACACTGAAAAGATATCTATACAGTAAGTTAAAGATAAACCTTGAAAATGTAAATTTATAGCCTTCTTCCAGAGCGTTACTTGTCATTTATTGTCTCGAAAAACTGGACAGAGTAATACATAAATTTAAACAGTAAATTTAATAATTAACTTCTCTGTTTACAAACAACTAAGCGATATTAATCGTCGATATTGTTATATTCTTTCCATTATAAATGTAATTATTTGATAATCATATTCGGTAATAAAACGGAATATTTAATAGCGTTAATAAATATTAAACAGAAACTTAATGAATAATTTATTATCGTTGAAAAATACGGCCTCTTAAGCTTTTACCGTTTATTATATTGACTTTATAAGTTTTGACGATATATGACTATGAAAATTATGGGAAACCGTTATAAATTTATAACCAACCATTGGGATCTTCTTGGGTTTTACAATCATTTATTGCAAGAAATCAAGAAAATTATTTAATATTAATGCATTAAATATATATATATATATATGTAAATTGTATGATGTATGACGGGTGTTTCTAAGTAGCCAGCAATTAATTAATTAAGCAAACCAATAGCGTGGTTCGTTTTATATGAAACGGACTATTTTATTGGTTCACTTACTTAGTTATTGAGTGCTTTTAAACGAGAAGTGGTACAGAGTTATACTTTACTGGTTCTTTTGTATATAACAGATGAAAAGTATGGCAATCGGTTAAAAAATGACCCCCCAGATTTAAAATTTTTGAACTCGGAAGACCTTGAAATATCGGGAAATGCAAAAGAATTTGGATTTTTTTTCTGTACGTACAGATGTTTGTGTTTGCGTATGGATGCGATTTTTTTTCACCCTTTTTGAAGCTTAATAACTTTTGTGATTTTTGTCGAAAATTTCAGAAATTTTGCAGGGAGGTTTGTGTGTTATGAGGGCTTGATGCTATTAAATTTTGGTGGTTAAAGGTCGAGGGGTGAAGAGATAGAGGGAATCGTGTCATTTCTCAGTATGGTCGGACTTAATGGCGATTTTACTGGCATTTACAATTATTATTATTTTTNAACAGGAAATTTGTAATTAATTAAATACAGTAGAACTGTGCATATATGTATTTTAATTAATACATTTATACCGAGGTTGAAACGTCATTTTTCTTCATTTTCTAAATGTTTAGCAACAAAATTTTAATCTAAGAAAGATGATAATATATGAAAAGAAAGAAAGAAAAATAAGAAAATTTAATTACATTCCCTACTCCTATTTCAATTACACAAAAACTTTTAACAAAATATATTACGCAACAAATATATTACAGTATTTTACAATTGAACATTTTTATATCAAAAAAAGAAATATGGAATTTAATTAAATGAATGTAGAATGTGAGGTTTCCTATCAAATCATTAAAGGTAACACAAATTGACTGATTGTGTAAATTTAATTATCATCAATTAAGTCTATGTTCTGATGATTAGCATCATCCAAACAATAGTAAGATCAATACAGATTCACTTAACGCATTCTATTGGCTACCTGTAGCTAAAATAGATACTTATGTAACAGTGTTTCGGTAAGAAAATTACATTTATGCCCACTTTGAAACATTTCAAATGTATACACAACGTTCTCACGCACGTACAGTTAAATAGATTATTATTATTACTATTATTCATAAAGTTAAATTGTTGCCAAATTTGAGTATTTCTTTTTTTCCAAATTAATTCATCAATTTGTTGTGTCTTTGGCACTTTCTCAACACTATTTTTAGAAGAGTAAAAAGCTTATTCATAATCTATATTTTGGCATATCTCCCATTAGGTCATGCCCTACAATTTGGGAAGCAATTTCTTAATTATTTATGACGTATTTAAGCACGCGGATAAGCGTAATAACTTTGATCCTTTTAATTCTTTATTTATTTTATATTCTTCGTCTTTTTGAAGTTGATAGATTAACTACTTTGCATTAAAAATCGACTATAGAATTCTAAACAGTTTGCTAAAATTTACTTTATGAAACTTTTGATTTTAATTAAATCGTTCCGTAAATTTTTCTTACTGATTAAAATTTATTATATCTTTTTTTCTGTATTCCTTTACCCTAGATTAAATACATACGAGGAGATTAAATCAGTAAATCAAAGCGAATAATGTACAGTTTTCTTCTCATTACTTTCCTATATAAATCCTAAAATTCCCAGATGGATGCATTTTATGAGAATTTTCACACGGTGTGCCTAAGTAGAAGTTAAAATAATAACAGATGGTATTTATTCGAGCATAAATCCTTTTTATTTTTAATTCACTAGTACGGCGTAGAGAGTGCATTAGAAATTCTTAAATCCGTTTGGTTTACACTTAAATCGTTCCGAATCAAAATTTAATACCCACACAATAAACTTAATCAATACATCGACTTGGTAGACCGAAAGCAAACACGTTACTGTAAATTTTTTTTCTTTTTTAAACCACTTTTCTGAACACTTGACACTTTACAGTAGCTGAAGTCAGCCATTTTCGTAAACTGCCAGTTACAATTCCACGAATATCTTATCTTTAGCTGACATTGCTTCTCTTCTCTGACGTCTCCGCTGTCTTTTTTTAAAAAAAGAAAATCGCATCTTATGTTGGATTAAAATAAAAATTTACTGGCGGAAGTTAATTTGTAACTATTAATAATTTATACTTTGGATAAACAAAAATATTGACATCGCGTAGAAGAACGTCAAAAAAAAGTGGTAAGGATTTTAATTTTGATATCAGAAAAATGGTAATTATCGATCGTATTCTGTTTGCATTCCTGTAAAATTGGTAGCAACAGCTTTTCTTTCTTATTCTACGACCTTGAAAGAGAAATTGTTGAAGAGCGCATATGCTGCGAGTTGATTAGTCTCGGAAATCCTGGAATTAATTTCCTTCCAAGTAATGTTAATAATGTACTAATGAACGTGTCGATTTGTTTAGAAAGTTCTGCACTTTGTATTTTCTTCTGTCATAAAAAAAACATAAATAATAATAATAATAATAATAATAATTTGGGTATTCTTCCAGACTTTGCGACTTTTTATCTTTTAAATGATCGTAAACTGAATTATCTTAGTGTAAAACGTCATCACCGAAGGCATCTCGGCAATTTTCTTAATTAAACTTGATTTATTTGTTATAAATTAATTAACCATAAGGAAATTAACATTACATTCAATTTTTATAAGGAAAAATTACAAATTTTTCATAAGGGAATTAACTAAAATTCATTATTAATTTTAAACTTTAAACATAAAATTTAATTTAACGCATTAAAAATTACGAGGAAATGTACGAGTTTCGAGTAAAATATCATTATTATAAACTTGACCACCCCCCAATAACGGCTATTTTTTTATATATTCTCGTCGTTCGGAAGTTTGGCTGTATTTTAATTCGAATCTTGAATCACGAAAATAATTATGATATACCCTAAACTTATTCGTTAGAAATCAGAAAAATGTGTAATGTGAGCTAAAACAAATATATCGCGAGACTTTTTAAATGTTCTTTAGCACATTAAACCCGTTCAAAGAGGACATTGGTCTGCTAGAAAGTGTCAAGTACTTAGTAAAGAACTCGAAGAATGCTTCAACTGTACTAATTTATGAATCGGTATCATTTTCTAGATTCGAGTTTCATGACCAGTGAAGAGTTATTTCCAGATAGGAGGAACAGAAATTTTCAACCGTGCATAATAAATTCTTTAAAAAAATCGATATTAAAATTAATTTACATAACAGAAATAACATATAGAATTAATTTATAATTACATATTATTCTTTTTAAATTTATAATCCGTACAAACGTACCACGCACTTCGAGTTCAGATAAATTATTTGCAATGAATTTCAGGGTAGGCGTCGATTTTAAAATACATAAATAATAGTTTTAATTAAAACGGTTGAGAAATTTCGTATTTAAAAATTAAAAATTCAAAATTAATCTCTAATAAGAGTTGTAGGGTAATCGTAAATTATCATCAACATTACGGGATTTAATTTATCCCGTCTGTAAAGGTCATATTATAAATTCAAGAACTACATTTACGACGTAATCCTTATAGTTTAATGTAATCTGTGTTTATTCTTTAAAACATTGGTGACTTATTTCTTAAATTTAAATAATTTCAAGCTATTTACAAGCTTATTACACAATTTTACACAGTCGAGATTTGAAAATAAACACAAGTTGGTCCTCGAAAAATCTAGACTAATTTCTAGAAAATTAATAAATTATTTAATAATTTAAGTACTGCAACATTCTATATAAACAATTTCTCCATCTTTAATCGAGTTATTTAATTTAAAAAAACCTGTATCAAAATCTAAATTTTTAAAGGTTTAAGATGGAATTTTTAATTTTAATGGGTAATGTCGTTAATTAATAAACAGAAAGCAGAAAATTACGTAACGCGTAACGCAATAACACACAAAAACATTAATCGCAATAATAAAACGGAAATAACTTTAAAAGAAGTAACATTATCCGATTTAAATTCGATAATATGGCAGCTCTCCAGCATTAAAACATATTTGAATTTTTTAAGAATTGTACTGTTATTGATACTAGCGCAGGAAATAAGTCGCGTACAATATCATTTTCGTTCATGCCCGTACAAATACTAAGTTTTTTTTCTTCTTTTCGATATCTTTACACTTAAAAAAAACTCTACCGAGAAAACAGTTAATGAATTTATATAAAAAATAATAATAAATTAAATAAAGAAAAGGCTTTGTTTTCTTTGAATCTTTTTGCCTATGACCTTTACCCTTAAGTTACTTTACCATAATCGATTTGTAACTGTATTTCTGGCAAACATAAGATGTTAAAAGCTTGTGAAATTTCTCTTTTTCAATTATAAAAATAGATGGAGACGATTTTTATAAGGATTAATAATAATAGTTCCTTGACTTCTTAAAATTTCGTTTTATAAAAATTGGACTAAGACCACTTTCGAGTTATGTCCTGTTAAATTTCTTGTTTTTTCATTTAACGGAATTCTACATCGTTAACAACGTTTTACTTTCTATTCTTACTTTTATTTTATTTCATCTCTTATCGAGAAAAACATCTTTCTTTAAGCACATTTTTCAAATTTAAATTAAACCAATCAGCGCTCGTCTAGAAATTCAAACTGTCAATTTAAAAAATAATAATAGAATATGATTGGATAATAATTTAAATTGTTTCTTTTCTGATTATTATCATTCATTTTTATAAATAATAATAATAATAATAATCGATAAAAATAATAATAAAATCACAATTTAAACGAACGATTACGTTTAATGATATACAATTTAATTACTTTTAATCTCGATTAAGTACAACTATGTTAATTAAAAGTAAATATGAAAGAAGTGTAGCGTTAAAATTACAAATTAATGCTAATATTCTTTGTATAATAAATAAAATAAATGATAATTCTTAAAATTATGACAAAAGCAAAATTTATTTTGATATTTCTAATCACGCACTCTTCCGACGAAAAATTATATTAGCGAAGATATATATATATTTGTTTACGAAGTATTACAAAATTAAATAGAATGTAATTATAATTACTTTTCTCGAAATTTAAAATAGATTGCATAACATTATAAACGAAAAACTATAATTAATATGTAATTGGACAAAAAAAATTAATTTAAAAAAATAATTATTCGAGTTTAATTTCGCAAACAATTTAACTATTATTAATTTAAAAAAATAACCGTAAGAAAATAAAATATAAAATAAAAATTATAAAATGGGATAAAAACATATTTCAAATATTTGAAATTATAATCTCGAAAACCGATGCATTACGAATAAAAGTCGTCTGTCTGAGTAAAGAGGGGAAATATTTTTTTCTTTTTAGTTTTAAATTATGAAGTGTAAATAAATATTTGTTTCTTTAAATAATAAAATAAAAGGGATAAAGTGAATTTTAAATCAGCGGAATACATGTTCTATGGCAGACGACAAAAGGAAACTACCAATCACGGCGGGCCTAGCCGGTAACCATGACAACGCAACGGGGCTGATATCAAAGAGAAAGGGAGACTGCGGTAAAATTGGCGGGTTGACTTTGCCAGTTAAAGCTCTTTCTACAACAATCCGTAATCATCTGAACATAATCGTGGACGGCTTTATACAGGTAAACTATTATCGCTTCTAATAGATTCTTAAACTACCACCCCATATTTTTCTCTATATATTTTAAATTATATAAAAATTTTCAACCAAAACAAAAGATTATAATTATTGCAATAAATCCGATTTTAAACGCTTATAAAATATTATTTAATATATATTATCTTTTTAATACGTATTAAGTTAATAGAAAATGATTTAAAACGATTTAAATTTTCAAATTCGTGACGTTTCGTACACGTAACAAACAAATAAAAAATAAATTCTGACGCAATTCGGGACCGCACGTATGCATTACGTTATCGAAATTGATGTAATTTTTTTACGTCATCGAAAATGGTGTCGATCTCCATGCCATTTTTGCTCTTTTTATTGTAACAGGTGCGTAAGTATATTTTAATTATTTAATTCGTTTCTGTCGTAAAATTGGATTTAGATAAAGGTTAAAGTGCGAAAGAATTTATGAAAAAGTTAAAATTATTCTTTTCTTTTATCGATTAAAAAAAATTAAATTTTAATAGAAATTTTGTATTTTTTTCTATTTAAAAATGCGCAATTAAAAGACAAAAATAATAGTTAAATAAATTTTTTAAAAATTTAATAATAAATTAGAATAATAATGTAAGAAATTTCCATTAATTAATAGAAAATGGTTATTTTCTATCGACGAAGGCTTAAATTTTTTCCTTTTTTTAATGGAGAAGAATCTTACCGCCAAATTACATTTAATAAAATTTAAAATTTGTGATATAACACAATAATAAATTTACTGTTTAGAAAACGAGAAACAATGACTGGCGGTTGTTTAATTAAATTTTATTGTAAAAGCTGATGGAAAATTGTAAACTTTTACAAAATTTCCAGCGTATTTTAATGACGAAAATGGCGTTTACAGTTTAGTATTTTCTAAACATCAAAATTTTAAATATAATTACGAATTCGGACTCTATATTTAAATTGCGCTTCTAAATAACTAACCAATAGAATTAAATCTATTTTAGTCTTATGCTAGTATTGCTAAATGACGTCATACGAATACGAATTTATTTGTCTTAACGCGGCGATTTTTATGTCGTAAACTACGACATAAAATTATAAAATTTTATAATAATAGCGCGTGCATATTTACATAATTTATGCTTATTTTAAATCGTATTTTTATGGATTTTTGCGTGAGTAAACATTGGCAGAAAGGCGTATTGTTTTATTTAAAAAAGAAATGAACATATTGCTGTTGCTTTGCGTGGGAGTTGGGCAATCTTGTTTTGCTTCTATAAATAGAACTCGACGGATGATCGAAGTATTTTTAGAACGGTTCGATTTTTGAAAAGAAAATGGAAGGAATCCGCTACCGACATTGAAAATATTTCAATGTTATCTGTTGATGAATATGTTTTAATGAAAATCGCACCCCTTAAATTTATTAATCCGAAGCGATTTTTTAACGATTTTCTATATAACCCGGTAGATGGATTTTTCGTATTACGTACTACAAAAATAACAATTATAGGCAGTAATTTAAATCTTTAATGCGGTAAATATCCTCTTACAATACTGTAGTAGAGGTAATGTAATAAAATGTAAATATATTGACCTTTTAAAAGCAAAATAAGTAGTAACGAGATTTATGCCTATATCAAAATTGTTGTTTACGTTCATCATTCACTATTTTTTGTGTGTAAACTTTTTAAAAAATATTAGCAAATAAATAATAATTTTAAAATATGTTTCGAATATATATTATATTCTACTTTATAAAACTAAAGTTATATAATTTTATAGCGTTGTGTTTTTTTTTTTTTTTTTTATATGA